GGCCACGTCACCCCCGCCACTCAGCTGGGAAAGGGTGGGACCAGGAGGTGTGGGGGAAGGGGTGGCCAAGGGCCTGCTGCCCTCCCTCCCCAGCACCCCGCCCCCCAGCGCAGTCACCCGCCAGAGTCCCCCGCACCCGATTCACCTCGAGGGTGCTGATGAGGGGCACCGGGGTGACCGGCTCCCGGGTGCACGCCAGGCTGGTGCTGAAGGAGAATTCCACCGACTCGGTGCCAATGATGGTCCAGCAAGAGCTGTCGTTGAGCAGCGCCCTATTGGCCTCCTTGGGGCAGGGGGAGGCCTGAGAGGAGACCCGGGGAGGGGCAGAAGCTCCGGGTGGTGGCCACCAGCGTGGGGAGCCCGGCAGTGCCTGGGCTTCCGTGCTCCGGTTCTGCGGTTTACCTGCCCGTTGAGCTTAGACAAGACCCTTCAGTTCTCGCTGGGTTAAATGAGTTCGCTATATGAGCCGGCTTCTAAAGGTCTATTTTGTTAGGACTCTAGAATTCTATTTTTAACACTGTGCAATTCTGCGCCCTAACATGCTACAGTTCTAAAGTTCTTTGGGAGGGAATATTGCTCACTCATGTTATTTTCTACTTAAGGATGATTTCATCCCTCAACTGTCCACGATAATCTTCTTTGGGGAGTAGCATTGCTTAGTAACAAGAATAATCATCATCTCCCACATTCTACAATTCTATGACTTAACGTTTTATGGTTCTAATAGTCTTTGCTCAATAATACTCAATACTATTATTATTTTTTATTTACATTCTAAACTTTTATATTAGAACATTCTATGACTCTAAAATTCTTTGGGAAGGAATATTGCTGTAATACTGTTATTATTTTTTCTACATTCTCTGTCTCCATAGCCTATGATTCTAACATTCGCTGGGAGGCAGTGCAGCTCATTATGACGGTGATGGTCTTACATTCTGTGCTTCTCTGTGTCCTGACTTTCCTAGATGCTTGGTGCTGATCTTCTCTGCTTCTTACCTGGAATTGCACCACCTTCTCTGTGGCAAGACATAAGTAGGTGCCACCGCCTCCTGGAGGACCACCAGGAAACTGGAATGCACACTTGTGCAGTTGTGAGATGGGCTCGTCCACGTCAAGGAGCGCACACTGTTTGACTACTTTGCGGATGATCTACAACAAAAAGGTGGTGGGAAGTGTGGGAGCAAAGGTGACTGGGTGCTCAGAGGCCACCCTCCCAGCCAGCTTTCTGTTACTTCAATAGCCATGTGGGCACTGGCAGATTCCCCCCATGCCAGCCCTTTACCTCTATCCAGCCTCACAAAGCACTGAGTATCCTGGGTGAGAACTGAGTAGGTGTCTTTATGCCTTGGGCCCTCACCAGCCCTGCCCACATGGATTGTACCTTCTGCATGGATCTGGGGGGCCCTCCCTTCCCATACCATCGGAGGTAGTGTGATGCCCGTGACAGTGCAGACGAGCTGCACCAGGGAGCCGTAGCGGACATAGCCCTCTCGAGGTGGGAAGTCCCCCTGGGAAGAGTGATCATCAGCTGGGGGTAAAAGGAAGGAAGAAAGGAGGGTTTCAGGGAGCCCCAAGCTTCTGCTTCAAACCCTGCCCTTCTTGCCTCTGACTCCACCCCATTTGCACATGGGTTTTGTGGGTAGGGTTGGCACATAAGGAGGCAGCTAAGGCTGACGGTTCTCATCTTGGAGGGGCCATTTGTGGCCATCCTCGCAAATGTCCACCCCCTGGGGTGGGGGGCTGAGGTGAGGGACTGGGCTGGACACTGGAGTCAGAAGGGCTTGGATCAGTCACTGACTCACTGGGAACTTTGGCAAATCTTGTGTGTTTCAAAGCCTCAGTTCCAAAGGCAGAGTTTACCTTCCCTAAAATGTGGTGGTGGATATCAAATAAGCTAATGAATGCAAAATGCCCAGCCCCCACCTGCTGACGTAGTTACCCAGGTGCAGGGTGAAGGCAGCCCATTGGCGCGCACTGGCCACGAAGGCGCCGTCCTCCACGGAGAGGTAGCGCGTGGAGACAGTCTGGGAACGCAGGCGGTTGAAGAGGGAGACCTTGGAGCCCGAGGATATGCACACTGTGAGGGGAGGTGGAATCAGTGCTCTGGCCTGGCTTGGTCCCTCGGACATGCCAGACACAGCTGAGTCTCGGTCCCCTCAATACTCAATACTATTATTATTTTTTTAATTTACATTCTAAAATTTTATATTCCAACATTTTATGCCCCTGTGCCAGTTTGATTCATATGCCCACTAGCCTAAACATAGTGGGCACTCATATTTCATAGCTGTTTACCTAGCACCTGCCCCAGTCCTGTTTCTGCACTTGTGCCTGGTCCTTTTGCTGCCTGGACATACTTCAGTTCAATATACAGAGTTACCAAATATTCACTAAGTGTAGCAGGCACTGTGCTGGGTACTGGGCACCAAAGGGAGAATTGGACCCAGTCTTGCTCTGGAGGAGCTCATGGTATCAGAGAGGAGACAGGGACATAAATATAAAATTTCAGTCTGCTGTGGTGAGGACTGGGTTAAGGAGGGCTTCCTGGAGGAGGTTATACTCTCAGCTGGGGAGCATGAAGTAGGTGGGAGTGCTTGGGGGGCTGCATAAGCATAGGCCACGTGGTGTGGAACAGCAGTAGTTTCTAGGGCTTGACATTGATCTCTTCCAGCCTATCACATAGGCAGAGCCGCAGTTTTGTTTTCTGATTGGATTTTGACCACCTGAGGAGAAAGCACTGGGGCATCTCCTTCTCTCCCTCACAGTGCTAGGCATAACATAGGCCCTTAATTTATACTTAGCCCAAGTTCCCATCCATTAAATAATAGCTAACGTTTGTTGTAGGTCAGGTGCTGTTTTAAATGCTTTATAGGTATTAGTTCACTTGAGCTTCTCAACAACCCTCAGAGGTAGATAATATTATCTCTACTGAAGACAGCAACTTGCTGAAGATTGCTAGACAAGTGAAGGGAAGAGCCAGGATTCAAAGCCAGGCCACCTGGCTCCAGAGTCTGCACCGTGCCCATCACACTATACCGCTTACTCCTCGGGCCCTTTCCTGATACCAAGGGTCAGCCAGGGCACTGCCTGGATCTGAGACATTCTTCAGGGTTTTCAACAGACAGAAAGTAAGTCTGTTAAAGTAAGTCTGTATAGGAGTAAGAGCTGGGCTCCGGAGTCACGTTGACCCAAGTCCAAATCCTGGCTGGACCATTTCCTAGCCAGTCAATCTTAGGCAAGTCACCTGGAATATGATAGGCCCACATGTTTCTCGAATGAATGGATGAATGTTCCAAACCTCATTTTTCCCATCTACAGCTTGGGAACAGTGACAGCACCGACCTCACAGGGACACAGTGAGCGTCAGACAGGAGGGATGGATATAATGTGTTCCAGGAAAGCCAACCCTCCCTTCTCCTACTCCTCCCGGTGTGGGTAGTGGTGATGATGTCACTGTCACTCAGACTTTCCCCCCTTATATTCTCAGATCCTCCAGCCCTGGGATTTGTCACCCGGCGCCCAGGACAGCNATCCCACCTCCCGGTGTGGGTAGTGGTGATGATGTCACTGTCACTCAGACTTTCCCCCCTTATATTCTCAGATCCTCCAGCCCTGGGATTTGTCACCCGGCGCCCAGGACAGCACTTATCTCAAACTGTCTCTAGACTGTTAGACTGCGTGTTCCTCCAGAATGGACACTGGTCCTTGTTTTATAGGGACCCAGCACCTGGCAAGAGCCAGGCATAGAGCAAGCGCTGAGTATAAATGTTTTTAACTGAATTTCCTTTTTGTTGTTACTAATTCTCACCAGAGGATATTTTTTCCATTGCTTTTCAGAGAGAGTGGAAGGGAGGGAGAGAGAGAGAAAAACATCAATGTGTACACCCACTGGTGGCCTCCCGCCCGCACCCTAAAGGGGGTGGGGGGGCGGTACCTGCCCTTGACCGGTAATCAAAGGGGAGACCCTTTGGTGCGAGGGCCAACTCTCTAACCACTGACCCACACCGGCCAGGGCTCCTCTGCCTTTTTATTGTCACTTTTAATCTGTCTCTACTTCAGCACCTGCCGGCCTTTTGAGGGGCCCCCAACTCCGCCGTCCCCAACTCACACTCTCAAGCCTGGTATCTGTCCCCTCTCCGCTCCGCCCTTGCTTCCCTAACATATCATTCCCAGACCCTCCCCCGGCTCGGCCAGACCCCGCCCCTCGGGGCTCAGACTCCGCCTCCTCCCCTCGGACCCCACCCCTACAATCCGGGTCTCTCCCCCTCGCGAACCCCGCGGCTGCAGACGCAGGCGGCCCCTCCCCCTCGCCCTGAGACCGAGCCCCGCCCCGCTCACGGTCCGTGTTTTTCAGGGACTGCTTCTTCTGCGACGGCTTCGAGATGACCTTGATGAGGCGGCTGTGGAAGGTGCCCAGCTCCCGGCCCCCTCGGAGCACCAGCCGCAGCACCAGCCTGAAGTGCTTCCTTTTGTCCGCGTCCGAGATGTACAGGGTCTTGGCGCAACCGAACTCCTACGGGGTTCAGCGGACGGGCCGGCTCATCTCAGCCGCCCGCCTCGGGATGGACCGGCCTCGCCCAGTCCCCTGACGTCCGCCCCGTCGGAGCCACGCTCTGCAGTGCACCCTCCGAGCGGGACCTCACTTTCCCGGGCGCCCCGCTACCCATCGCTCGGCTTCCGCAGGGGAGTACGCGAGCACCCCCCCCTGGGGAAGAGGCGAGCATGGGAGCAGGACTGGGACCCCCTCCTAGGCGCGCTCACCCTGGAGTCGGGCTGCTCCTCGAAATTCAACTTCTGCGTCTCGGCGGCGCTGCCGGAAGCGCCGTCCAGTCCCATGTAACCGCAGACCGTGGGCCCCGTCTCCCCGGCCAGGTGGGCTGGAAAGGGACGCCAGGGGGCTCTGGACGGACTCGGGAAGAACTCGGGCGCCGGGCAGGCCTACTTTCCGCCGCCAGAGGGCGCGGCGAGACTGCGTCTGCCAACCGCCCGCTCCCAGCCCCTGCTGCGTGGTCCCCTACCGTGCGAGGCGACCAGTCCTGGAGTCTGTCCTCACCTTGGCCCGGCACTGGCTTCACCCTCCAGCCAGGACCTGCGAGGTAGACACAGGGCGGGGGGCAGAAGAACCTGCAGAGACATGTAAGCGCTGAATTCGTGCATCATCTCCATCCGACTGTCTTGTAGGCACCTCAAAGGTAGCAGAAACCTGAAAGAATCCCCCCTCCACCTTTCCCACCGCCCTCCCCAGGCTTCTCCATGACTGTGAACCCTATTAACATCGAACCTTCTTTATCACTCCCCTCATTTGAACCGTCAGTAAGTCCTGTCCACTCCACCTTTAAATCATGTCCAGAATCCACTGGCTTCTTACCACCTCCACCTTTTTATTTGTAAAACCATGAGCCAACCATGTTACTTGGCTTCTTAAAATCCTCCAATGGTTTAAATCCCAAGTCCTCACATGATCTGGCCCCTGCTTTCCTCTCCAACTTTATTTCCTACAGTCCCACCCAGCTTCTCAAACTGCAACCACTCCACTTCTTTTGTACCTCAAAGAGGCTGAGTTGGTACCACCTCAGGGTCTGTGCATTTTCTGTTTCTCCTCACGATTCCCCCACACTTTCTTCAGTCTGGCTCTGTTTTCACACTCAAGTCTCAGTTCAAACGTTACCTTGACCTTTCTAGCTAAAGTATCCTGCCTTCCATTTCTATCACATTGCACTGTTCCCTTCCAGTTTCCATGAGGATCTTGTTCATCGATTATGGGGACTTTATTGTCTGTCTCTTCCACACTAGAATGAAGATGCTACAAGAACAGGGACTGTATTTGTCTTGTTCAGCTGTATGCCCAGTGCCCAGTGGTACCCAGAGAGCCTGACACATGACAAGTACTCAGTTACTAGTTGTTGAATGAATGGGTGAATGGGTGAATGAGTGAATGAATGGAGACTGTCGATTCCCTGGGAGGTTCTGCTAAGACCAAAGTGGGAACTATTGGTGGCTGAGGGAGAAGGCCCACGATGGCCAATAGCTGAGCCCTGAGTCCTCTCCAGGTTCCAAAAGACTCATAGGACCGGATGCCAAAGAGATCTGGGAGGGGTGGGTTCGGCACCTACCGTTTCTCATTTCCATATGATTTCTGGGCCACCTTGGCGTGCAGGATCCGCACCGTTTGCTCACACTGCTGCTGCAAGCACCTGCGCACGCCTTCCCTCAGGACAGTGGTGTGCTCTGGGGATGACCTGGGAGGCCCACAGCAGGGAGCGTTAAATAGCGTAGGTTGAATGAAATGAAGTTCTAGTGTTGACCCTTTGTGGTCAGGGCAAGGAAGTGTTGGGTAAGGGAGGGGACATGTGCAAGTCAAGAGCTAAATATTTGGGCTGCCCGGTGCTCAGTGAGGCTTGCTCTGAGCCTACCGGGACCACCCAGGCACCACTCTGTCGGTCTGGCTCCACGCCCATTGTAGCCTGGAGCACTGGGGAGATGCCCCAGAGGCACAAAGGCCAAACGTGTGTTGGCCTTGAGATGGAGGCAGAATATGTGAGGGTGCCTGGCTTTCCCTGCACCCTGAGGGTACCAGCCCCCGGGAAGTCTTGATGCCAGGGGGGAAGAGCCTTTGCTGGCCCCACAGACCAGAGTGCTCTCTTGCCTGCTGGTAGATGCCTGCAAAGGTGGAAGGGCCCCAAAATAGTGTCCCCAGGATCCTGGGATTGGAGGAGGAGGAGCATTTCAGTTTTTTCCCTGGTCAAAGTAACTCTCCCGCTTCCTCCCAAGAGCAGGGCCTGTTACTGTCTTAGCTTTACTTGGCTTGATCACAGGGCCTCCACTGGCCACGTGGCATGGGCCACGCAGATCCTGGTGGCCTGATGGCTTCTCAGCCTGGGAGTTTTGATGGGTGAGGGTGGGTGGGCCCAAGACTTAAGCAATTGCAGAGAACAAGTAAAGGAATCCGTGATGGCAGAGATTTGAGGGACCACCAGGTGGGGCCGGGGAGAGCCATAACCCCCGGCTGCCTTGAATCCTTTACCCACTTCTCAGGACCATTGTCGGGGGCCTCTCCTCACTCCTGGAGGGGGCGACCGAGGGCAAGAGCCGCCGCGCCCTCCGAAGCGGGGCCAGGCGACCGGAGGCCCAGCCGAGCCCCGCTCCGCCCCCTGGGGCTCTCCTCAGGGAAGGGGCTGGAGGCCTCCAGCGCGTCCGGATTTCGGCCCCGCAGCCCGCGTCGGCCGCTCCCAAGGTGGCTGGAGCAGGGGGCGCTGCTCTGGCTCCGCCCCGGCCCTCGGAGGCAGGGGTTCGCCTCGCCAGTGGGAGGGGTCGCAGCCCGCGCTCCCCCTCCCCACCCGCCAGCCCGGGTTAAAGGCGGCCGCCGCCTCCTCGAGCTCCAGCTGCCTGGCAGTCCCGCCTCGGGCACGCTGCCCGCGCCCTACCTGCTCCAGCTGCCCGGGAGGCTCCGCCCGTCGGCTCCGCTCTGCGGCCGCGCCTCCGAGTCGTCCAGCAGGTTCAGGTGAGTCAAAGGGCCTGGGGGCGCTGAGGGGTCTGCGGGGAGCAGGCGGCCAGCCAGACCAGGCGACCGTACTTAACCGCGGCTGCACAGCCTACGGTACCCGCATTGGACCTGCAGTGCCCTTCCCCACTTCTGTAGGGCTCTTTCCAAATTGAGTCCCCACCAGCAAGCCCACCAAAAAGGGGAGGGAACGTTTCCCCCTAATCTCCTCCCCCTGGGAACCCCCAGGTCCCTCCTGTAGATCAGCTCACTTTGCAGCCAGCTCTTGAGGAATTATTTACAGAACTCTCCTCCCTCTGGAGGCCACTTTCCCCACCCCAAAGACATTTCCAAATCTTTCATTTTAGCCCAGGATTGATTACCCCC